TTATTATCATTATTATTATTATTATTATTATTATTATTATTATTATTATCATTATTATTATCATTATTATTATCATCATCAACATCATCATCATCATCAGCAGCAGTAGTAGTAGTAGTAGTAGTAAAAGTAGTAGTAGTGGTAGCAGTTGTAGTAATGAAAGTACCAGAAGCAGTTGTAGTATAAGAAGTATTAGTATTAGTAATACTAGTAACAGTAGTGGTAGTAATAGTAGTAGCAGTGGTAAAAGAAGTAGTAGGAGTGGTAGTAGTAGTTATAATAATGGTAGTAGTATCATCATTACTGTCATCATTTCTGTTCCTAATAAGGTGAAGTATATTCACATTTCTACTGACAATCATCTTTCATACATATCCCCGGACACAACATGCTATACGAGAACGTAAAAAAAATCCTTGCATCTAAGTACAATTTCTACGACTTCTTCCCTTTATATCCATACCTATGTCAGCGCACAGGAGTCTAAAAAATCATATCATATTCACGTGCTCACTTATACAGACTAGCAACATCACTCCTGAATTATAGCCAGAATATTCACTTAATAACTACGGTGATAAAATTTTCTGTCACTTTAACGAGTTGGCAAAAACACTATGTACACACTTTCTCAGATTTCTAAGACTACACTTTCGGAACACGACTTATCTTCTAAATAACTTCTCTTGTGTGTAGATTATTTTTTGCCAGGTGATCATTCTTACAAGCCTATTTAAATAATGCTCTTCCATAGGAAACATTAATATTCCCCAGATTAACCACTAAATAATAAAAACATGCTGAGGCCGCCAAGGACATGGGGAAATGACAAATTAATGGCACCAGCAATATTACCTCGTTATAAAACATTTTAGATTTATAGAGGCCAAGCGACATAAATATGACATTTTTGCATCGATTATGTTTTATCTAACCACGTTCCCTTATGATATGCATCACAAGACTATCTACCGCCCGGGAAGCGTCGGAGAGGCATCCTTCGAGGAGCCGCGGGGCATCCGCTGTCCTTGACCCCAACTTGAATTGTCTCTCCCTCAGTTCCGCCGCGAAGGGTCATCGGGCACGTGAGCCCTGGCATCGTGGAGGCGGGCAAAGTGGCACTGCTCACGTGCGAGACCTCGGCCAGCGTGCCCCCGTCGACCATCACCTGGCGCTCTGGAGGGGCCACGCTCGAGGGTGCCACCATGCACCAAGCCCCCGGGGAGTTTGATGGCACTGTTACCAGGTGAGTCTAGCTGTTAGGTATTTTAGCGAATGTGCTGCACTGGCTTGCTAATAGCTTGAGTCTATGTGGGTTAGCTTTTCCTTCTTTTCAATTTGTTCATGAGGTAACAAGTCTTTTAAAACCAGTCGCGTCCTGCAACGCCATAAAACGTCCCATTAATCATGACCAAGCGGTAGTTAAGCCATCGCGCCGGATTTAACTTCCTCGCTAACTGACAGGACGAGCGCCGCGCTCGAACAACAGACTGGCTGCCGAATAAAATCTCAACCGCCCGGATATGATCATGCACGCATATCATGCGCGCCCATCAACACATTACCCTCGCCTTTATCACCCATGAAGTAACGACACGAGATATCACTCGCCTGCAAGACGGGTTTCATCTCCCGAGCCAGAGCATCCTCAGCGCCCATTCGAAGGTGCTTTCGTCTTTACGGCCACTGACAGCCTCCCTGGCCAGAATGGGCGCGGACATCAAGAAAGTTGTAGCTTTTACGGCCGACAAGTTGGTGTTATTCCTAATCTTTGTTATCCAATACGGTTAGCCTCGAGGCGACGGCTGCATTCAACTTGCACGGCAGAGACGGCGAGTACTGAAACAACGCACTTGCAAGCCGCGCCTCCGCCGATTCAATTACCGCCGCCTCGCCGGGGAGGGCGGGGGGGCCGAGCGGGCGCAGGAGACTCCGAAAGACAAACTCCTGCCCATTTCGCTTCCTATTGTTAGAAGCAAAGGGACGGGAATTGTTTTCTCTCGTCCCATCTTCCCTTCAAAGTAGGATCACTTGCTTATATGCGGTTTGCCCAAGTTGTATTTCTGAGGACAAACTTTTCCTGTCAACTCTCAAATAAACAACCCACAAGGGACATTCGGGGGAAAAGTTTTCCTTTACAAGACGGACGGAAAGGAGGAAAGGTACCGAGGCATTCATCGAGGCTCAGCTTTTTTGTCTCCGAGTGTGGTCTGAATTTCACGAGAAGTTGCTGAGGATACGCGGACGCTCCACCCGATCGCCTCGTTGCGTTAGCTGGCGGTCGCATTCTTCGCCAGGGCTGCTCCTCTCTCGCACGCACAGACACGCACACACACACACCTATATATGTGTGTGTGTGTGTGTGTGTGTGTATATACACATATAAGTATATATATATATATATATAATATATATATATATATATATATATATATATATATATATATATATATATATATTATATATATATATATATATATATATATATATATATATATATATATATATATATATATATATATATATATATATGTATGTGTGTTGTGTTGTGTGTGTGTGTGTGTGTGTGTGTGTGTGTGTGTGTGTATATACACATATAAGTATATATATATATATAAATATATATATATATATATATATATATATATATATGTATATATATATATATATATATATATATATATATATATGTGTGTGTGTGTGTGTGTGTGTGTGTGTGTGTGTGTGTGTGTGTGTGTGTGTGTTTGTATGTGTGTTCTACAGAGAACTTGTCTCCTCCATCTTCCAGTCCCCTCCCCCCCGCATCCCCACTTCAACCCACCCTAACCCACTTAACCCACCCTTTCCACCGCCTTTACTAACAAGTCTCCCCCCTCCCCCCGCCCGCTCCCCCAGGTCGGAGCTGGAGGTGCGGCCCCGCGGTGAGGACAACGGCCACGTGTTCACCTGTGACGCTGACAACGGCCTCGGTACCGCTGTGGCTGCCAACGTCACCCTCAGCGTATTGCGTGAGTACCCGAGTCTTGCAGATTTTCTCTCGTTTTTTTCACGGGAAATAGATGGTTGGGTTCGGTTGTTGTTGTTTTTTATTCTTCATTTTCTCTTCCTTTCTCTTTGGATTTTATTTTAGGGGGGAAGCTGAATAAATATTTCATGTTTATTTTCTTTTTCTTCTTTTTCTTTTATGGGATACGGGTAGCACGTGTGTATTGACGTTACACTTTTATACAGTCGCCATTTCAGTGTTTTTTTTCTATCTTCTCAAATCTTATTTCTGCTTTACCACCTATTTGGATATTTATGCATCTGTCTGTGTGTTTATGTTTTCATTGATCTGTGTCATTCTGTTTTTAAATATTTTTCCCATCCCCATTCTCAACTCTCTCTCTCTCTCTCTCTCTCTCTCTCCTCTCTCTCTCTCTCTCTCTCTCTCTCTCTCTCTCTCTCTCTCTCTCTCTCTCTCTCTCTCTCTCTCTCTCTCTCTCTCTCTCTCTCTCTCTCTCTCTCTCTCTCTCTCTCTCTCTCTCTCTCTTCTCTCTCTCTCTCTCTCTCTCTCTCTCTCTCTCTCTCTTTCTCTTTGTTTATCCTTTTTCTCTTTCTCTCTTCTTTCCTTATGTTCTTTTTCTCTCTTTCTCTCTTGCTCGCTCGATCTCTCATTCTTCTCCCTCTCTTCCTCCCTCCCTCCAACTCTCCCTTTCTCCCTTCCCCCCCCCCCACCCACCTCTCTCTCCCTTCCGACTCCTCTTCTCTCTCTCTCTCTCTCTCTCTCTCTCTCTCTCTCTCTCTCTCTCTCTCTCTCTCTCTCTCTCTCTCTCTCTCTCTCTCTCTCTCTCCTCTCTCTCTCCTACCTCCTCCCTCCTCCTCTCTCTCCCTTCTACCTCCTCCTCCTCCTCCTCCTCCTCCTCTCTCTCCCTTCTACTTCCTCCTCTCTCCTCCCTTCTACCTCCTCCTCCTTCTCCTCCTCCTCCTCCTCTCTCTCCCTCTCTCCCCTCTTCCCCTCGTCCGCAGCCGCTCTCTATCGCTCAGCCAAACACACAGCACAACCTCCCTTCCCTTTCCGCCAGGAGTAAGGTTTCCCAACCACAATCTCGCTCCCCTTCTGTGCAGCTCTACTCACCCGCCTCGTCCCTCCGTCTCGTAACCGCAGGCCTCCCCTCAAGACTGTTTTTCTTCCCCCCCTTTTCCCCTCCCTCTGTCTCCTCTCCCTCTGTCTCCTTCCCCCTAACGTTCTCATTCTCCCTCTCCCTTTCCTCCATGTTCGTGTACCGTTCCTTTCTGTTGAATGCGTTTTCCTCTTCGCTACAGATTCTTTTTTTTTATTCTTCCACACTCTTCCACTTCTTTCATTCATCCATCCTTCTGCTCTTTCACCTTTATGTGTCCCTCCTCCTCTTCATTGTTTCCTTCTCCTTTTCTTCCTCCTCTTTCATTCATCCCTCTTCCTTTTTTGTTCGTCCCTCCTCCTCTTCTTCCTCATTCATTCGCCTCTTCTCCTCCTCCACTTCTTTTTCTTCTTCTTCTTCTTCTTCTTCTTCTTCTTCTTCTTCTTCTTCTCTCCTCCTCCTCCTCCTCCTCCTCCTCCTCCTCCTCCTCCTCCTCCTCCTCCTCCTCCTCCCTTTTCTCCTCACTTTCTCCTCCACGGTCTCCTCCTCCTCCTCCTCATACTCATACTCCTCCTCACACTCCTTCTCCTCCACATACCTCCTTCTCCTCGTCTTCATCGCCCTCCTTCCTCTCCTTTTCCCTTCCCTTCCCACCCCTCCCCTCCCTCCTCCCCTCCTCCTCTCCTCCATCCCCCCCCCCCCCTGTCCCGGCTTCCCGACAGTTCTAATTAAACATACATCCTCCAAGTCCCTGTTTCCTTTTCGGTGAATCGACCTTCCTTGATAACTTAGGGGCTATTTTGATTACTATTCTCTTGCGTTATGAGGGGGAATTAAGACTCATGTGAGAGGGTATCTTAGAGGCTGTGATTGAACGTTCTGGAGTTTCTTTTTTGTTGCTTTTATTGTTGTTGTTGTTGTTGTGTGTGATGATGAAATGGTAGTGGCATTACGGGGGTTATATTTCTGTGGGTTTTTGTTTGCTGTTGTTGTTTTATTTTTTTTTTGTGTATAAATCTTTTTGATAGCGTGTTGTGTGTAATTGCGTTTTGTTTTTGTTTGTTTGTTGGGCGTAGTAAATTTTTATACCTCGTGTTTATTTGGATTTGTTAGAGATGAATTGGGGATTGATAGCAAAGTGTATGAATACTTGATTACTAGATTCCCGGCATGTGTGTGTGTGTGTGTGTGTGTGTGTGTGTGTGTGTGTGTGTGTGTGTGTGTGTGTGTGTGTGTGTGTAAGTATAATTCTCCGGAAATATGCGATTACAGACATTGAATAAAACAGTTCCCTCTAAGCTGTAAATTCTCAAACTTTCTCCTTTTCCTCGAAAGTGGAAACATAGTCAAACACAGTCAACACACATACATGCATATCATACCTTGTGCAAATAGTTTCTTAATTCCTTACATTCAATGATCAGTAAGAGCGAGAGATATCTTTTCTTATCTTTAATATTTTACTAGTAGGATATCCTTTTCTCCCATCAAAAAAAAAACTCATGAAATATCACATTTTTCTACTTAATTCTAAAACACTTAAAATTATTTCATTTCAATTCAGGCAAATTTTCGGTAAAAATATGCTGTGCGTAAGATAGCGTTCGAACTATATTGATACCTTATACGATACAAAAATAACAACACAAAATAGAAGATCCAACGATAGATTTCTGTAAGATTAGTTTGAATAAGCATGGAACCTTTCATGATACTAAGTGATATTGATGATAATGAGGGTAACAATGGCAATAACAGTAATAACAATTGTAACAATAACAACAACAATGATAATAGTGATAATGATAATAACACTAATGGTGGTGATAATGATAATGATAATAGTAATAATTATATTAAAGATAGTAACAATAATAATGATAACAATAACAACAATAAAAAATAACATTAACGAAGATGATAATAGTAATAATGATAATAATGACAATAACAACAGGAACATAGGTGATAAAGATAATAGTAATAATAATAATGATCATAATAATAACGACAATAATAATAATGATAATGATGATAACATCAATAATAACAATAATAATGATCGTAGTAATAACATTATTATAATAATGATATAATAACGGTGATGATGATAACGATAAGAAAAACGATGCAGATAAATGGTGATGTGATGAAGTGATGATGTTAATGGTAATAACAAAAATAATCATCAAAGACAAAACTTCTAATATCTATACATTTCACACACATCAAATGCCAGATGTACGAATCGAAATTGTCAAAGCTTTCATTTTTCAGTTTGATCACAATATTTAATAAGAATGGAATTTTGCTTTGATATGGGCAAATGGCATTCCCAATTTCTTATTAAGGACAGCGTTTAATTAGGGTAATATTTGAGTGTAGCATTTTCACGGACTTATAATTCGTGGAACATTAATTTGAATTAATAATGAGCATGATGATGATAATAGTAATGAGAATGATAATGGTAATGATCAGAATGATAATAATAACAATAACACTAGTAAAGATAACGATGGTAATAGTGATGATTATAATAATATAACTGATAACAAGGATGGTGATAATCATGATAATGATAATAATGATGACAGTGATATCAGTGATGACGATAATGATGATATGGATAATGATAATTATGGTAACAATAATGATAATTATTATTATTATTACTATTATCATTATTATTATTATTATTATTATAAGAAAACAATGACAATTAGATTGACAATAAAACATTAAAATTAAACCAGTGGAAAGACGAATACACACATAGTTGAAACAAGAATAAAATCACTCATTACCTCAAAACCGAAATTTAAAAAAAAATGGAATAAGTAAAGCATGCTGCAAAAATAAGTCCACCAAGCAAGTCTACTGTAACTAACTCTCTAGCTTTTAGATTTTCTGAAGTTAATTCAATTATTCCCCAGACTTTTTCCTTCTTCGAATTGACTCAACTTTTCGGCGTTAGATCTCGCACACACTTAAAGCATAAACGCTTAATGTGATTTTCTTAATTTCGCTGGTTATTTGGCCGCTCCTGCGACGTGTGAGGGAATCATTCGCCCGCGACACATGGCTTTTCCTCCTCAGGGAATTGGTGGGCCTCTCGAGGTCTTTAGTCATACATGTGTGTGTGTGTTTGTGTCTATATATATATATATATATATATATATATATATATATATATATATATATATATATATATATATATATATATATATATAGACACGCAAACGCACATGCACACGCACACGCACACGCACACGCACACACACATTAAATATAATATATATATATATATATATATATATATATATATATATATATATATATATATATATATATATATAAGAAGATAGATAGATAGCCATATATGTAACAAAATAAATAGATAGATAGCCATATATGTAACAAAGTAGATAGACATATAGAGACATAGATAAATAGCGAAAGAGAGAAATAGGGAGGGAGAGAGAAAAAAAGAATGAAAGAACATTTTGGAAAACAATTTTTTTATACCTGATTCAGGAAGGAAAAACAAGAACAAAACAAGGTGAAAGCTACCCCTCCCCCGGCAAAAAAAAGGAAATATATTTTTGAAAAATGAAAACAAAATGGTTGTGCGTTGAGTCGGAAGAAAAGACCGTTTCGAGTTTTAATGGAGAGAAATTAAAACTTTTTTAATTTAGTGAGAGTTAAAAGCTTATATTACAACACACGTACATACCGTAGGCCTATGACAAGATTACCAGGCATTTGTGCGTGTCTTTGTTACGTTTAATACGTCATAACCCCTTCTAGGCCTATTTTCCTTCTTTGGATCTTTCTGTTCTTGTCATTGTTTGTTAGGAAAATGGTGGGTAGTTGTTGTTGTTTTGTTAAGGATAATGTTATGCTTCGACTTGAGGGTTGAAGCAGTAGTTGAGTCATTGTTTTCATTATCTTTATTATTATTGTCATTATCGATAGTATCATTATCAATTCTCATTCTCACCATGTTTTTTGTTATCATTGTCATTAGCATTACCCTTTTCTATAGAATCATTATAGTTCTCAGCATTATTACGGCTATCATTAAATAGCAGTAGAAGTAGTAGTAGTAGTATCATTGTTATTATTGACATTGTTATTATTAGCATTACTTTTATTAATATATATCTATTATTTTCATTATAATTATAATCATTATTGTTATTATCATTATCATAATGATTATTTCTATCATTATTTTTTATCATTATTATCATTATCCTCATTATTTTATTATCATTATTATTATCATTATCATCATTATCACTATTAACATCATTTCTAGTAGTGGTAATAGAGGTGGTAATATATCTGTCCTTATCACTATCCTTACTGTTATCAGTATAATGGTGTTACCAATAATGATAATAGTAGTAATATTATTGCTACTACCATTACCACTATCTCTACTACTACTACTACTCCTAATGATGATGATGATGATAATAATAATAACAATGATAATAATAACGATGATGGTAGCGACAATGATTATAATGATAGTAATGATATTAATGATGATGATAACGATAACAATTATTACAATAATAACAATAATGATAAATGTTTGTCATCATTATCGTAGTGATGATGATGGTAATAGTAACAGGATTAATAATGTTGATAATAGCAATAATGATGATAGTACTGTACTACTACTATTACTCGTAATAATAATAATAATAATAATAATAATAATAATAATAATAATAATAATAATATAATGATAATAATAATGATGATAATAATAATAATAACAATAATAATAATCATAACAGTAATAAAAATGATTACGATAACAAAAGTAATGGATTAGTAAAGATGATAACACTAGAGGTAATGATGATAATGATAACGATGATGATAGATATTTATGTTAATAGCGATACTTAATGATGATAACAATGCGAACAACAACATTTAAGGAATGAAATCTGAAATTTTATGCATAAATCTAGCTTCACGCCTTTTTAACGTAGACACCCCCGTGAGCGAATTATGTTTAATTCCGTATCCCTTGACGGTCTCCCCCCCCCCCCCCCCTCCCTTCCGCCCGCTTTTCATATTTTTCTTTTTCTTTGCCTTTTTTTGTATTCAGCGGCCGTTCGCGATTGGCTTCTTCTTGGAATATATTTCGAAATTTCTAAAAAGGATTATTTGTAATGAGAATATTGGTTGTGGGAAGAAAGAGGAGGGAGGAGAGAAGGGTGTTAGGGGAGGGGAGGAGGGAGGGGAGGTGGTGTGGAGGGGAAGGGGGAAAGGGAAAGAAAGGAGGAGGGACGGGAGGGGGGGGAAGGTGTGGAGGGTAGAAGTGAGGGGGAATGGAGGGGGTGAGAGGAGGGACAGAGGGGGGGAGTAGAAAACGGTAAGAGAAGGGGAAGGGAAGATGAGAGGGGAGGAATAGGGTTGAGGGAAGTGGAAGGAGGGAGAGGGGAGGGAAGGGAGAAGGTGTGAGGGAGAAATGAGGAAGGGGAAGGAGGGAGGATGAGATAACGCAAGAACATCTGTTATTTTGGTGCCAACATATTAAGGACATATGCAATACGTGAGATTTTGTTTGTTTGTGAATGAAATGCACGTAACCTCTTAATTATTTCTAGCAATTGGGATAAATTATTGCGATAAGAACTACGGTAATGGTGACAATTATTTCTACTTTATTTCTATTGCTATTATTACTTTTTTATTATTATTATTATTATTAACATAACTATCCGTGCTATCGCTATCATTAATACCAATAGTAGTATAGAAGTAGCAGTAGTCTCATCATAGCTGTTATCGTCATTATTATTGTTTTTAATAGTATTGATATTATTATCATTGTTAGTGTTATCATCAAATTATTATCACTATCATTTTTGTTATCATTATAATCATTTATATTTTTTATCATTACTACTACTATTATCGTTATTATTACCATTCTCAATAGAATTCTTATCATCATTATCATCTTTATTGTATTGCTGTTTTCAATATCAATATTATTATCATTATTATAGTTATAATCATTATTGTCATCAATATCATTATTGTTACCATTATTATTATCATTATTATCATTATCGTTATTATTATTATTATTATTATTATTATTATTATTATTATTATTATTATTATTATTATTATTATTATTATTATTATTATTATTATTATTATTATCATTATTATTATTATTATTATTAGTGTTATTACTATCATAACTATTATCATTATTATTGTTATTAATATTACCATTATCATTATCATTGTTATTATTATTATTATTATTATTATTATTATTATTATTATTATTATTATTATTATTATTACTATCATAACTATTATCGTTATTATTGTTATTAATATTACCATTATCATTATCATTACTGTTATTGCTATTATCACCATCTGACTGACGCCCATCAGACTTCAGGAGAGACAAGCACAGCGCACATGAAATTCAATTCCACATCTTGAAAGGACGTGGCTGCGAGAGTTGCAATTGCACGTCACCTTTGTGCAAGGAACACGCGACGACGAGGAGGACGCTGTGCGGGGGAACTTTCTTCGTGTTTTTTGTTTTTGTTTGTTTTTTTGTTTGTTTTTGTGTGTATGGGCCTTTTGGTGGCTTTGTTTGTGGGTTGCTGTTTGGGTGTGTGGGGTGGGTTTTGGATGGGGGAAGGGGGTTGGATGTTGAGATGGAGGGTGTAAATGTTTTGCGTGTGTGTGCATATACAAATAAATAGATAAATAAATAGATATCTAAACATATGAGTACACACACACGCACAGATGTATATACATTCATACATACATGTATATATATATATATATGTGTGTGTGTGTGTGTGTGTGTGTGTGTGTGTGTGTATGTGTGTGTTTGAATGTGTGTGTACGAACAAATACATAGACAAACGAATACATTATTTTCCTCGCAGAGCCTTCTAATAAGTTAATTAATAAGTGCATCGCCAAGCAAGGGATTGCGAGAATGAGCAAGCATTCGAAGGCAAGCAGCGTTGCACTTCACTTGTCCTCGAAAGCTGCCTCCGAAAAGAGCTCGCGTGTTCGCCTCTCTCTTGTTAGAGGATACTTTCCGTGTAAGTTCGCGATGCAGAAAATTATTGTATCATATTATGAATCCAAACAAACCCGCACATGTGAAAAGTTTTTTTCTTTTACTTGCAAAATTGAGTGAATTCAAGTCAAAATATTTGGTTTGATTATTATTTCCTCTATTTATTCATTTACCTGTCTATTTATTCAGTAATTCCTCTATTCATTTAGTCATTTATCTCTTTGTCAATTCAATTGCCTTATTTGAGTAGGCCTATTTACGATCCGATTATTTATTGGTTGTTTAACGTATCCGATATCTGGTGTTATATTTCTTGACATTTTAAGGTGTTTGTGTCACACTTGATTCATACGTTTTTCTTCTCTCTCGATCTATTTATCCATCTATCCATTTCTATTTATCTTTGTATCTATTTCCTCTCATTTGCTTCTTTTCCTTTTTCTCATGTCCTCTCCTCTCCTCTCCTCTCCTTCTCCCTCTCCCTCTCCCTCTCCCTCTTATTATTATCATTATTATCTTTTCTTTTCTTCTTTCTCTCATGTGCTCCTTCTCGTTATCAGCATCCAACTTCTCCCTCATACTGGAAATATGTAGAAAGAAACAAATACAAAAAATTATAATAATAAGATGGCTGCAGAACATCTCATTTGGATAGTTATTCGAACCGGTGAAGCAAACCCACGAAACGAAACATGAGAACAAGAAACTGATACACAAAGACACAAGATCGAACAAGAACAAGGAATCAAGAACAAGGGATCTAGATCAAGGAATAAGAACAAGGGACCAAGAACAAGAGACAAGAACAAGGGACCATGAACAAGGAATCAAGAAGAAGGGGCCAAAAACAAGGGGCCAAGAACATGGGACCATGAACAAGGAATCAAGGAGGAGACAAGAACAAGGGACCAAAAACAAAGAATCAAGAACAAGGGACCCAAGAAGAGAGACAAGAACAAGGGGCCAAGAAACAAGGAGACAAGAACATTAACAAGGGACAAAACAAGGAGACAAGAAGACAAGGACAAGACAAGAACAAGGGACCAAGAAGAAGAGACAAGAACAAGGGACTAAAAACAAGGAATCAAGAACAAGGGACCAAGAACAAAGAATCAAGAGCAAGGGACCAAGAACAAGGGACAAGAACAAGGGACCAAGAACAAGGACAAGAACAAGGAATCAAGAACAAGGACCAAGAACAAGAACAAGAGCAAGGGGCCAAGAACAAGGGAACAAGAACAAGGAATCAAGAACAAGGGGCCAAGAACAAGGGACAGTGGAAACGCACGCGTTGA